ATATATATATATATATATATATATATAATAAGTTAGAACGAGAGCAAGAAAAACTATTTAAAATGCTTTTATACCAACAAATTGCTTTCATATGCAAAACATTCACCATTTAGTTAGCACTTAGTATAGTTTCCTAAAATCTTTAAATATCGTACATTTTTAGTGGATATATTTAAATTTGAACAAGAGTTTGCTTGCTAGTGCAAGCTGATGGATATCATAAAATTTCTTGGACATAAATATGATTTGTTGACATTTTATGCCAGCATGTTAACATTTTACGCCATAATCATTTTTCACAGAATATTATTACAATATCTGGAAATGTGTATATCGCCAAAAATATACGTGTTTGAATAGAGCTGAAGAAATGATTGCTTTGTCGTTTTGTCCTAAGTTTTGGCTGTGTAATAGTTGGTTCGATAAGTAGCTGTACAGGATGCATACTGCTTAAGCCTCGTAATCAAATCTTCGTGTATTTTATGAATTTTTCAGTTATTCCGTTTCATCATGGTTATTACGATCTGTTGGTGTATATTTGGAAGTCAAGTGATATTTCATGATTCAAGAATGCATCACAGTTTTTGTTCTCGAAATACCACTCACAGTATAGCGAAAGTGATGCCTGATCTTGTGTACCAGTACGCATTGCAAGCCAGATTAGTTCTTCCTCATGATTTAAACAGCTTGACGTGGTGTAGGTAAATATTTTGACATTGTTTTTTGATAGTTTATTGGTCACTGTTTGAATTCTGCAACCTTCAAGGAGGCAGTAACTTTGTGTGCCAATCTTTATAAAAAATTTAAAGAATAGGTTGTTCTTTCTAGGAAAGGACGAAGTATATTATATCCTATTCCATCATTTTATAACCATGTCCAGGAGAAATATTGGCAAGTTGAGCCCTTTGGCTACTGGCAGTTAAAAAAGCTACCTTGCTTCATATTGGCCACTCCAGCGGTTTTCATCGTTTTATACGGTTCTTTGTTCGAACTCACTCGTTTAAGAACAGTGCATGGGTGCGTTGCATTATACATTTTTAAATAGCGCTCGCTGCAGTAAGGAAATCTGAGCTATTGGTAGTCATGGAACTGTTCCTTTCTGTTTAAATAAGGCGAAATAATTGTCCGACTACTGTTTGCTCACTTTATTTGAATCACTAGTTAATGCAGAATATGTCAAGAATGCTTCTGTACCATCGGCAACTATCGGTTAAATTTTTCACATCGTAAAAGTATCGAGTTCATATTGATGGGTCTTTTTATCCAAATGAAACTATCTGAAAGTGTAGATGGAAAATATAAAACCTAACGTAAACCATTCTTTCATGATAGATCATTATTTGGCGTTATCCTTGGCATACTCCAAAATGCGAGCAGCACACTACCCTTTATGATACATGCGTTAGTGCTGACAGTTCTGGCTTTGATGCTGTACAACGTGGAAGTGCTCACCCGAATTCTATTTTCGTCATCACCGTTTGTTTATCTAGTCATAGCACAATACATGGACCGTCGAACTCCTTTGGTAACATTAGACGATGTACAATACCCCACTTTTCTTCCTTTTTTCACGAATTTTTCGCGGTCACACTGGGTTCATGCCTTGCTATTATGTTACTTATTGGGCTATTTCTATATTGGTACACTATTGCATGCTAATTGGCTTCCGTTTACCTGAACTGTATTATTTGTCATTTTGAAATTACCCCTTTGCTTGGCATTTTCAAGTGAAGCTGTATCCAGAATAGATATTCCATGCAAGATTCTTTTTCATTAAAGTTACATACTAGGAAGTGAGAATATTTTTTTTACTTTATATTTGGTAACTTCTATTAAATGAAGCTCCGCTATATATATATATATATATATATATATATATATATATATATATATATATATATATAT